CTCAAGCCCTTTTTTCCCCTCCCCTCTGGTTATATTGGAGATAGGGCCTTCCTTTTTTCCCAGGCTGGCCTGGACTGTAATCCTCCTATTTTATGCTTCCTATTGTAGTTTGGGATGAAAAGCACGTACCACTGGGCCCAGCAATTGGTTGAGATGAAGTCTCACTAACCTTTTGCCCAGGCTGGCCTCAAACCACAATCATTTCAGTATCAGCCTCCCAAGTAGTTAGGATTATAGGCATGAGCCACTTCCAACTGGCTAGGATTTCCTTCATTTTAAAGGCTGAACTAGAATAAAAAAAAAAAAGAAAAAAAAAAAAGAAAAGAAAAGGCTGAACTGTAAACATCTCTTAGAGATCCTGACTTCAATTCTTTTGTAAAAATATTTGTATTTAGAAAAGATGGATCATATGGTAGTTATATTTTTAATCTTTTGAGGAATTTAATACTGTTTTTCATAACAGCTGTTCTAAGTTGCATTCTCACCAACAGTGTGCAAGGGTTTCCTTTTCTCTACAATTCTAACACTTGCTATCATTTTTGTTTTAATAACAGTCATTCTAATAAATGTGAGGTGATATCTCACAGTGGTTTTGATTTGTATTTCTTTGATGATTAGTGATGCTGAGTATCTTTTTCATATGCCTGATGGCCATTTGTATGTGTTCTTTGTAGAAATTTCTATTAACAGTCCTTTGTTCATTTAAAAAAAGCAGTTATTTATTTGCTATTAAATTATAGAAGTTCCTTAAATATATTAGATATTAATTACTTATCAGATGTACAATTTGAAAATATTTTCTCTCATTCTGCAGGCTGCCTTTTCACTCTGTTAAATGTTTTGCTATGATGTAGTCCCACTTGTTTTTGTTTTGCTCTCATTTTTATTTTCTTTTCCATAAGATTCCTCCAGATCCAGGATATGACTCATTTCTTAAAAAAAAAAAAAATAAAATAAAACCTCAGTTCTAGTAACTCCACTGCAGATTTAAAGCAGCTACACTAATAATAACTGATAACAAGGAAAGAGACCATGTCTTTAGACAAGGTACTTCCTCTTAATCATGCTTGAGAAGTCTTGATACTTAGAAGTAAGAACTTTAGTTTTAAGTATAGAGAGATTAAGCAACTGGCCTAAGGTCATCCAGGCAAGACCTGAGTTTTTGATTATAAAGCTCATCTTGTTTCTAAGGATCTCCTGCTAACCAATAACTAATACCTAATGGCATAAAATTCAGTTATCTGAAAAATTAGCTTATTTAGATCAACACAAGCTCAGTTATCAGATCAGTGAGATTTCATGATGAAGAGCCTCAAGGAAGATAGCATAATATGGAGACATTTCTCAGATATACTAGCATACATCTGAGAAAATGGCAGAAGATTGACTAATCAGTCATGCAGTTACAAGTACAGTTCAATAAAATAAATAAGCAAATATAGACTGGCAGAAAAAAAAATTCAGCCTATTTAATACTAAATGTAAATGGACTAAAGTCTCTCACATCAGACATGACATGTAAAAAAACCAAAATCAAGTTGTAGACATTTTATTGTATTTTTTGTGGTACTGGGGTTTGAACTCAGGGCCTACACCTTGAGCCACTCCACCAGCCCTTTTTTTGGTGAAGGGTTTTTTTGAGGTAAGAGTCTTAAAACCTTTTTGCTTGGGCTGGCTGAGCTGTGAACCTCCTGATTTCTGCCTCCTAAGCAGCTAGGATTACAGGCATGAGCCACCAGTGCCCAGCTATAAACATTTTACATGTAAATTTTTCTATTCACTCATTTTCACATGTATGTGCTAATCAATTTTGCTCACATTTCCGTACCATACTTATGTTAGTATATAATTAAGTACAAGAAGAAAAGTGGGGAAAGATATGAACCAGGAAAGAAACATGAGTTAATTTTCTAGTATATATCTGTGTGGGAAACACTACAGGTAGCAGTAGTACACCAACAAAACCTCTCCGTAAGACATGAAGTTATTTATACAAAATTAAGTTCACAAAGAAATTATAAATAAAAACAGCACATTTTACACTAATGTTTATTAATCTGATGTTCACAATACATTATTAAGGGGAAAATGCAAAATAATGTGAATTTCACTAAAACCAACCACCCAATTCCTGTATGTGTATTTATGCATGTATTATATAGGGAACAGGGCCATTGTGACAGAATGCAGAGTAGCTAGTTTGTGAATGCTGGTTATCTGGGGGTTGGGGGTAGAGTAAGGTATGATGATTAGCTTTTCTTTTACATATTTTATACTCATTTATGTCAACATTACTCATTTTGTAATTAAAAAACTAGTGAAAAATTAAAATGCATACAGTCTATAGAAACAAAATAAAATTAAGGTCAATAATTAATTACATATATGTACATATACATGTATGCAGGATTGCCTTTGCCACTCAAGAAATATGTTCATTCGGTTTGCATTTGCCAAGCACCTATTCTAGGGCAGGCTTATTCTAGGTATTTGGGTATGCAGAATAATTTCTGCCTTTCATGTAAGTACACTGGAATATATAAGATAAAATATAATCTGTATAAGCTACTAAATCTAGATATATGAAGGACTGGCCTTTATATATTAGTGTTTAGATAGTACTTCAATGGCTAGATTAAGAAAAAAATAGCCACAGTTAAACCTTAAGTGATGGTCCCAATAAACTTGAAATATTATAGTGATTTGTCTACACTTTCCAGATGCAGAAATAAAGTTTTCTATTAAGAATTCTACTGTATGTTGAAAGATGCTGCTAGTTAATTACAAATATTTTTTCCCACTCAAAGGAATCCTTCATTAACTCTGTACAGGACATGACTTATTGACAAATAACTTGTCCATAATGTACCTGGATACACATTTCACAGAATACATATTCCATTTTTCACACTGGCAATCTATAGTTGGAACACACCAATGATAGTTTGTCAAACGGAGACCAATCACTACTATCAACACATAACTAGCTTATTTCAAGTTTATCTGCCTACTTTGGGTTACAGTCCTAAATGTGAGTAATTCCAGACTTTTTAATTAAGAGTCAATGTGGAGGTTGTTGGGGAACCTCACTATCTTTTAGTTGCTGTGCTCTAGATTATTCCTCAGGCCATACTAGCTCTCTACATTTTTTTATAGGAACAGGCCCAAGGACTAAAACTATGGCTCCTTCCAAAGCAGTCATTAGCAATGACTTAAATCAGCTTTTGGATTTTTTCATCCTGCATAAAACAAGGCTGACTGTAGAGAGGGGTACAGATTTTGCTTGCTCACTTCTACTCAGACTTGTAGAGGTAACTCCTTAGAAGTCAAGTACACAAGATATTTTTGTTTCAAAGGATTGACAAACTTAACAAACACGGGATAGTTTTAAAATCTAAGTCATTTTATACAGGTTCTTATAGACTTGACTTTCCCAATAAAAGCCCATCCTCAGCAAGAAGGCCTATGGAAGTAACTCAGGAAAACAGTTACTATTGGTCTCAAGTGAGTTACTGAACTATGTACCTATTTTTCTCAGTCTCTGCCTCACATAGGAATGACTGCTTTGGTAATTTCCTCTGATTAATTTAGCAATTTCCTCCCCTTTCATTTCACCCACATTAGCAAAGAATTCTGACTCTTAACTGATATTTCAGAAATTGGGCTGGTATTTTAGATCAAAAACACATCTATTAGAAAAAGAGGTTCAGACTGAGAGTACTGTTGTCTTATTCACAGAATTTAAACTCAAAAAACAAATGTGAAGTTTAACACAGTACACACTTCTGTTTTCACTGTGTAACAGCTCTACCTAAAAAGAGTTGGGTATCAATACAGAAAAAAATTCCTTGGTTGCCTGCAAGATTTAAGCTAATTTGCCATTTAAAAAAGACTTGTCATCTTCATACATGCAATGTAATACTGGCAGTCACAGAGAAGGAAAGCAAGTGAAACATGTTGAGTTCCTCTTAAGGGAGTCCTGACAAAATTGGAACAAGCTTCCATTTTCTAAGGCAGAGAAAGAAGGTATGTCAATTTCTTTTCTTTTCCTAAATGCCATCTGTAACCATAACTGGATGACAACAACCTCTTGTGAATGATTCTAACTTAGGTCTCCATTCTTAAAAAGATCCCTGATGCTTCTCTAGTAACCTTACATGGGTATTAGGAGAGGAAATGAAATTTTGTAATAAATTCTCAACACTGTATTTAGAGACCCAAATCAAGGGAAGATTATTATTTTTACAACAGATTAGGCTTGCCAGAGAAGCTTCTGCCTTTTAAGTTTAAGAAGCTGTTAGAGGGGTTGGAGATATGACTCAAGAGGTAGAGTGCTTGCTTTGTAAGCACAAGACCCTAAGTTCAAACTCCAATCTAACTAAAATACAAAAGAAGCAGCTGTAATACTTCACAACTTGCTTTAACATAGAGTTTCTATGGTTTACTTCTCTTCTATACCCCTCTCCCCTTATTGATCCAAAAATGAGCACCTCAGAGTTAAGATACCTCTCTTTGTTGCTAAGGTTATATACATGAAATACAATCTTCCTAAATTTCCTACAAAACCCTTAGATGTTAACAAGCCCATGCTCTAAACTCCAAGGCCTATGGTCAACTATTAGTTCATTTGGGTGATTAAAAGGAGACTGGCCTAATTTTTAGGAAGAGGATAGATCTGACTTTCCTTTAGTTTATACATATGATTGGTTGGCTTATACAGATTTTGTTTGTTTAAAAAATATCAGAAAAAGACTTTATCATGGGCTGGAGGGATGGCTCAAGCAGTAGAGTGCCTGCTTAGCAACTGCAAAGCCTTGAGTTCAAACCCCAGTGTCACAAAAAAGAAACAAACAAAAAGACTGTATAATACTTTTTCTCTTCTGTATCAGAAAATGAGTTGTTATTTTCTTAGCTCTTTAGTCAACTTCAAAACTAGCAACAGACTATAATCTTGATAAACAATGAGCATCTACAAGATTAGGTTTCTTAGTCATACTTACCTTAAATTGTTTTGTTGGCCAGGTGGAATGACACTGTAGTAAACTGGCATTCCTGTTGTGGGCATAGTTCCTTGATTAGACTGATTAGGGAACATAACAGGTTGTTGATAAGTTTGATGGGCAATTCCTTGAGAACCTTGAGGCAGTGAAACCTAAAATTTGAAAGACAATTTAATGAGAAAAAGTTTTTTCTAAACCTTGCAAATGATGCTGTTTTCAATCTCACACACTTTTAAAGCATGAGCAGATAGGAGAAATAACCATCATTGCCTTTTCCTGGTGAAGTTCACCATACCACCAGCACTATGTTCTATGTGCTCTTGAGTCAACTACTGTTTTTGGCTGGCATTTACCAATTATACTGTATTTAAAAAAAAATAAGACTTATCCCTAATTAAGTTATTGAAAAAATACTTTTCTTTATATGGATGGCCAACTGACATGGAAATAAACATAGTTTACCTCACATGGAGCTAAAGTAGGACTCAGGGATGGCGTCAGTGGGGTACCTTGGATCAGAGTGAGAGTAAGAGCTTTGGAGCTTTAGATAGCTGGATGAGAAATTGGCTCCATCACTTTACTATTTTATGTGACATTGGGTAAATGACTTAATTATTCTGAGGTTCTTATGTAAAATTGAAAATGGCACCTCTAACAAAGGGGACATAGTATTATCTCCATAATGAGATAGCACATTTAAAGAATCAAGTATGGCTGGGTTTAGTGGCTCATGTTGGAATCCTACATACTTGAGAGGTGGAAATCGGGAGGATCACGTTCGAGGCCAGCCTGGCAAAAAGCCATAGGACCAGCTCCACAATAAAAAGGCGGGATGGTGGTGCATGACTGTCAGCCAAATTATGTGGGAAGAGTAAATAGGAGGATCCCATTTATGCCTGCCTGGGCATAAACACAAAACCCTATTTGAAAAATAATGAAAGAAAAAAGCTTGGAAGCATGGCTCAAGTGGTGGAGTGCCTGGAGTGCCTACTTGGCAAGTGCAAGGCCCAGAGTGCAAACCCCAGTACTGCCAAAAAAAAGAAACTAGTATGGTAGGCATCCAGTGAAATGGATCTTTCAATTTTGTTTCTGTATTATCAACAATACGGATATAGTGGATCCTTCACTTTCTAGTTTCTAAAATAGAAATCACACAGGCTCATTGGCTTCCCAATTTAAAAACACTACATAGTACTAATAGTGTAATGGTGATTTTCTTTTTTTTTTTTTCATTTTTCTTTTATTATTCATGATTGTGCATACAAGGCTGTTTATTCTCCCCCTGCCCCCACCCCCTCCCTTACCACCCACTCCACCCCTCCCGCTCCCCCCTCAATACCAGCAGAAACTATTTTGGCCCTTATCTCTAATTTTGTTGTAAGAGAGTATAAGCAATAATAGAGGAAACAAGGGGTTTGCTGGTTGAGATAAGGAAACTACAAGGGGCATTGACTCACATTGATTTCCTGTGCGGGTGTACCTTCTAAGTTAATTCTGTTTTTTTTTTTTTTTTTCATGTTTTTCTTTTATTATTCATATGTGCATACAAGGCTTGGTCATTTCTCCCCTGCCCCCACCCCCTCCCTTACCACCCACTCCCCCCCTCCCCCTCCCCCCCTCAATACCCAGCAGAAACTATTTTGCCCTTATCTCTAATTTTTTGTAGAGAGAGTATAAGCAATAATAGGAAGGAACAAGGGGTTTTGCTGTTGAGATAAGGATAGCTATACAGGCATTGACTCACATTGATTTCCTGTGTGTGGTTACCTTCTAGGTTAATTCTTTTTGATCTAACCTTTTCTCTAGTTCCTGTCCCCTTTTCCTATTGGCCTCAGTTGCTTTTAAGGTATCTGCTTTAGTTTCTCTGCGTTAAGGGCAACAAATGCTAGCTAGTTTTTTAGGTGTCTTACCTATCCTCACCCCTCCCTTGTGTGCTCTCGCTTTTATCATGTGCTCATAGTCCAATCCCCTTGTTGTGTTTGCCCTTGATCTAATGTCCACATATGAGGGAGAACATACGATTTTTGGTCTTTTGGGCCAGGCTAACCTCACTCAGAATGATGTTCTCCAATTCCATCCATTTACCAGCGAATGATAACATTTCGTTCTTCTTCATGGCTGCATAAAATTCCATTGTGTATAGATACCACATTTTCTTAATCCATTCGTCAGTGTGGGCATCTTGGCTGTTTCCATAACTTGGCTATTGTGAATAGTGCCGCAATAAACATGGATGTGCAGGTGCCTCTGGAGTAACAGTCTTTTGGGTATATCCCCAAGAGTGGTATTGCTGGATCAAATGGTAGATCGATGTCAGCTTTTTAAGTAGCCTCCAAATTTTTTTCCAGAGTGGTACTAGTCTACATTCCCACCAACAGTGTAGAGGGTTCCTTTTTCCCCGCATCCTCGCCAACACCTGTTGTTGGTGGTGTTGCTGATGATGGCTATTCTAACAGGGGTGAGGTGGAATCTTAGTTGGTTTTAATTTGCATTTCCTTTATTGCTAGAGATGGTGAGCATTTTTTTCATGTGTTTTTTGGCCATTTGAATTTCTTCTTTTGAGAAAGTTCTGTTTAGTTCACTTGCCCATTTCTTTATTGGTTCATTAGTTTTGGGAGAATTTAGTTTTTAAGTTCCCTATATTCTGGTTATCAGTCCTTTGTCTGATGTATAATTGGCAAATATTTTCTCCCACTCTGTGGGTGTTCTCTTCAGTTTAGAGACCATTTCTTTTGATGAACAGAAGCTTTTTAGTTTTATGAGGTCCCATTTATCTATGCTATCTCTTAGTTGCTGTGCTGCTGGGGTTTCATTGAGAAAGTTCTTACCTATACCTACTAACTCCAGAGTATTTCCTACTCTTTCTGTATCAACTTAAGAGTTTGGGGTCTGATATTAAGATCCTTGATCCATTTTGAGTTAATCTTGTATAGGGTGATATACATGGATCTAGTTTCAGTTTTTTGCAGACTGCTAACCAGTTTTCCCAGCAGTTTTTGTTGAAGAGGCTGCTATTTCTCCATCGTATATTTTTAGCTCCTTTGTCAAAGATAAGTTGCTTATGTTGTGTGGCTTCATATCTGGATCCTCTATTCTGTTCCACTGGTCTTCATGTCTTTTTGTGCCAGTACCATGCTGTTTTTATTGTTATTGCTTTGTAATATAGTTTGAAGTCAGGTATTGTGATACCTCCTGCATTGTTCTTTTGACTGAGTATTGCCTTGGCTATTCGTGGCCTCTTGTGTTTCCATATAAATTTAACAGTAGATTTTTCAATCTCTTTAATGAATGTCATTGGAATTTGATGGGAATTGCATTAAACATGTAGATTACTTTTGGGGAGTATCGACATTTTTACTATGTTGATTCTACCAATCCATGAGCATGGGAGATCTCTCCACTTTCTATAGTCTTCCTCAATCTCTTTCTTCAGAAGTGTATAGTTTTCCTTGTAGAGGTCTTTCACATCTTTTGTTAGTTTACACCTAGGTATTTGATTTTTTTGAGGCTATTGTAAATGGAATTGTTTTCATACATTCTTTTTCGTTTGCTCATTGTTAGTGTATAGAAATGCTAATGATTTTTCTATGTTGATTTATATCCTGCTACCTTGCTATAGCTATTGATGATGTCTAGAAGCTTCTGAGTAGAGTTTTTGGGTCTTTAAGGTATAGATCATGTCGTCTGCAAATAGGGATATTTTGACAGTTTCTTTACCTATTTGTATTCCTTTTATTCCTTTCTTCTTGCCTAATTGCTCTGGCTAGGAATTCCAGTACTATGTTGAATAGGAGTGGAGATAGTGGGCATCCTTGTCTGGTTCCTGATTTTAGAGGAATGGTTTTTTTTTCTCCGTTAAGTATAATGCTGGCTGTAGGTTTGTCATATATAGCTTTTATAATGTTGAGAACTTTCCTTCTATTCCTAGTTTTCTTAGAGCTTTTATCATGAAATGATGTTGGATCTTATCAAAGGCTTTTCTGCATCTATTGAGATGATCAAGTGGTTTTTGTCTTTGCTTCTGTTAATGTGGTTTATTACGTTTATTGATTTTCGTATGTTGAACCACCCCTGCATCCCTGGGATGAAGCCTACTTGGTCATGGTGAATAATCTTTTTGATGTGTTTGATTCGATTTGCCATTATTTTGTTGAGATTTTTGCATCAATGTTCATTAAGAGATTGGCCTATAGTTCTCCTTTTTGGAGGTGTCTTTGCCTGGTTTTGGGATAAGTGTAATACTGGCTTCATAAAATGTGTTGGCAGTTTTCCTTCCCTTTCTATTTCGTGGAACAGTTTAAGGAGGGTTGTATCAGTTCTTCTTTAAAGTCTGATAGAATTCAGCAGAGAATCCATCAGGTCCTGACTTTTCTTTTTGGGGAGACTCTTGATTGCTGCTTCAATTTCATTTGTGTTATAGGTCTATTCAGGTGATTAATTTCCTCTTGGTTCAGTTTTGGATGATCATATGTATCTAGAAATCTGTCCATTTCTTTTAGATTTTCAAATTTATTTGAATATAGGTTCTCAAAGTAGTCTCTGATGATTTCCTGGACTTCCATGGTGTTTTTGTTATCTCCCCTTTGCATTCCTAATTCTACTAATTTGGGTTTTTCTCTCCTCATTTTAGTCAGGTTTGCCAGGGGTCTATCGATCTTGTTTATTTTTCAAAGAACCAACTTTTTGTTTCATTAATTCTTTGTATAGGTTTTTTTGGTTTCTATTCGTTGATTTCAGCTCTTATTTTTATTATTTCTCTCCTTCTTTGTTTGGGATTTGCTTGTTCTTGTTTTCTAGGAGTTTGAGATGTATCATTAGGTCATTGATTTGGGATCTTTCAATCTTTTTAATATATGCACTCATGGCTATAAACTTTCCTCTCAAGACTGCCTTAGCTGTGTCCCATAGGTTCCGGTAGGTTGTGTTTTCATTTTCATTGACTTCTAGGAACTTTTTAATTTCCTCTTTTATTGCATCGATGATCCATTCTTCATTAAGTAATGAGTTATTTAGTTTCCAGCTGTTTGCATGTTTTTTTCTTTACTTTTGTTGTTGAGTTCTACGTACTGCATTGTGTCAGATAGTATGCATGGTATTATTTCTATTTCTTATATTTGCTGAGGCTTGCTTTGTGCCCTAGGATATGATCTATTTTGGAGAAGTTCCATGGGCTGCTGAGAAGAATGTATATTGTGTAGAGTTGGATGAAATGTTCTTAGACATCTACTAGGTCCACTTGATCTATTGCATATTTGGTAT